TAATGTGGGAATCATCTCCACTCCAGTGACTTAATGTGGGAATCATCTCCACTCCAGTGACTTAATGTGGGAATCATCTCCACTCCAGTGACTTACTCCCTTACTATCCGGCTTCGTGCCGAAGATGATTCACTGCAGCATGACGGGACAGGAAGCGTCGGGCCCAAGGCACTGGATGTGACTTCGAACTGTAAACTATGCTGAAAGCAGTAGGGAACAGTAACGCCTACTCAACTTACACATGTACAGTTTACATACTTATTTATTCTTAGACTTGCACTACTTGCCATTTCACTGCCAACTGCACGCTACGGGTATCTGTGATCACTGGTTAATTTTTACCATTTATGTCCTATGTCTTGCTTCTAATACTTATTTCCATTGTTCACAGTTGCTGGGAATTTCACATTGTACTGAGTATAACTGTATATGTGACAAATAAAACTCTGCAACTAAACATGCTCCTTTCAACTAAGACTCACAGCAAAGCAATGAAAATTAGCAACGCGAGAGATTATGAAACGATGCGCCAATACCCACGATGCAACTGTGCTGCCAAAGGGAATGCCAAGCCAAGACTGTTGACATTTCCCTTTCACTGGCAGCCGGGTAAATAAGCGGGATTTCTGACACAGAGAGCAACATCTGCATCGCAGCTGCATGTCTGAAGATCAATTATAACTGGAGATTCCCCGAGCGATGTCAGCAAGCGTCCCCCGCCGAAATGTCAGCTGCTAAATTTATACATCTGCGAGCGACGGCCAGGACCACCGGCATGCTCTTTTAGGGAGACGGCGCACTGGACCTCTGAAGCCGCGAGTAATGAGTGCAGACAGAAGAAAAAATGACAAGTAGCCAATGAGGCAAGAGTAGAATGGAATGACATCAGATCAAGAGGGCAGAGGCAGTGGATAGGCCAAAGAAAGAGCAGCTGCAGGCCCAGCTAAAAGAACAAAAATTAAAAATTGACCTTGCAGTATACAACACATAAATGTGCACTTAGGAAGAGCTACATTCTCCAGCTCTCTCCTTATTTTTAAAGTGCTCCCATGAACAGAATTGAGCGCAAGGATACAAAAAATGGTAACACTTTACTGGACAGGGTACAATTACTTAGTAATAACTCAGTTACTACTGAAATACAAAGCATCAGCAAATCATGAACACAAATATAGTCGCTGCTTATGCTTAAGGTTAGGGCTGGCTATGGGTTAAGATTGTCATTGATGGGATTAGAAATTAATGGATGGTCCCCAAAAAGATATGAATTCAAATATGTCTGTGGGTGCTTCTTTGTGTGTGTGCATGTGTGTGTGTGTATTAACTATGTAGACAATTACTTTGTGTGTCTGTGTCTGTGTGTATGTGTGTGCGTGTATTGTCTGTATAGACAAATACATTGAGTGTAATTGCATGACAGTTGCATGCTGGGAAACCACAGAAGGTACAGCAACAGTTCACCGTTGGAGTCCAGCACCCATGTCGCCGTGGCGATTAAAGGTCACCTGACCCTGTTTACACATTGACTCCATCCCATGTCAGTGTGTGGTCACGTGCTCGTGGCCGTTGTCTGAGCTCTTTGACGTTTTCTTTTCTTCATCGTAAGGTATTTCAGCTCTCGTCTTGCTTGCGAGTTTGTCCTCCAAACCTTACTGCTCCGAACCACGTGTTACACCCTCGCGCCACACCACACAAGCTGCCAAGTCGATATTTTCACATAATTTTCTCCAGTGCTATAAGTATGACGTCCGAGCACTGGCTGTGCATCAGCTACGGGGGCTTTAAAGGCCCCCTCCATACATAAGAAAATACAAAATATACTCAGAAGCCCTGCTAGGAAAAACATTCAAAATGCAGAGGGATCTAGCCGATTATGATGACATGACGGAAGACTGCATCCTCAACCTGCATGAGGACCTGAACGCTCTCCTTCGGTTTACAAGAAGCCTGCATCCCAAAATGAACGTCCTACCATGTTCCTATGGTAACGGATTAGCGTATGAGCGTAGCCTACCTGGGTGAAATGTCGCACCCTTGCTGCATAAACGCTCCGAGGGAGAACCACAAGCTGTTGAAGATGCCAAACTCGTTGCTGTGCTCCTGGCTCTGCGGCAGAGGCTGGTTCTGGGGCGTCTGGGCCTGGTTCTCAAGCGCGGGAGACTGCGGCGGCTGCTGCTGCTGCTGCTGGCTGGACTGGTGCTCGTCCATCTCCTCCATCTCACCCCCTTGCCACTCGTAGGGGCTGAAGCGGCTCACCAGGAACAGCACCACGCTGACGCCGATGTAGGCGAAGACGATGCACATCCAGATCTCGTAGGCCAGCGGGTCCAGGAAGGAGAACACGCCCGGCTTGGACTTGGTCGGCTTCTTGATCATGATGGAGATGCCCAGGCTCATGAAGGGCTTGGAGAAGTCGATGACCTCCTCCCTCACCAGCGTGATGGTCAGGGGGGCCACGGCCACGTCAGCTTTCTGCGGGGTGGGGGGCACAGCTCAAAGGTTAGCCGAGATGCTAACGCGTTCAAAACAGACGAACAAAACAACGAGCAAAAGCACTCGTTATAAACGGCTCACTATAATGGCAGGGAGTGAGTTTAACACCTACAGCAATTTCCAGCTTGGGAGAACCAAACATCTGCAATGATTTATGCCTTCATTCTAAATAGGTTCTACCCTAATTCTACCAGCATTTATATGTTGGTGTTGTTCTTGTTAATGAGGTTGTTGTTATTCTTCATATTATTAATATTATTTTTATACAATGTATTTTTATAGTAATATTTTATTAATATATCTAACCAAATCACATTCACCTATGACCTATTGACTTTACCTGATACTTTTAAACTGTTGACAGTCTATTGCATAAGTGGCAGAATCTATTAAACAAAAAAACATCTTTTTTTTTTTTATTTTTAAAGTTAACAATCCCTTCGGAGCCCCCGATATGTGCATCTGTCCTCCATCTTCCACTCAAATGAAGATCTACAGCCCAGTGTAAACAGCCAGGTGCAATACCTCCAGTAGACTTCAAATCAAAGGAAATATACAGCCTCAGAATATCGGAATTTTCTAGAAATCCAAATATAGCTGCTGTATGTCAATTTTAATATGCATGATTCTGACAAGCCCCCGCAACTCTGAATAGGACTTGGGGTTAGGAGACGGATGCATGGATGATTCAAATAAACTTAAACACGTCATTGTTCATCATTGTTCCATAAATGAGTGTTATGGAGTATCTGCGTGATTAAGAGCCTCACCCTTAAGGAGAAAGATGCCAGTTTCTCTCTGGGGACGTCCTGCTTACATAACCCTAATATCAGAGTAAACCTCTAAACCCTGAAGATAATCCAGGGTTTTTCATAAAAGTGACATCAATTAGATACTAAGAAGTCAAAGACAACTGTATTTCCACTACATTCTAGTCAGTATTTCTGTAGAGAGAAAAAAAAAGAAAAAAAAAATCCTTCTTCATCCATCTTTCAAACTCATATCCAGTTCAAGGTCACAGTGAGTCAGAAACCTATTGCAGAAAGAACAGGGTTCATGGTGGAGATCAGAGGAGGAAAGGCCAGGTCCAGAAAGTCGAAATCCGGACCAAGATTTTATTTCAACCAACCAGTTGAGCATAAAGAGTCACAGTCACATCAAAGACAGCAGCTACAGTACTTGAGATAAAAGATGCATCAAGATTCATTAGTGATGGTCAAACACAAGATCGGTATTTCATTTGTGTTATTCATGACTTGTTCATTCAGTAGTTCCTTCAGTAGTTCACAAAGGTTTACAGAATTAAAAGATATAGTAACAAATACAGTAACTGCTTCAGATAAGATGCATCATGATTCATTAATGATGAATTAACATGAGATCAGCATGTAAAGTATTACGAGCAAAGTTTTACCCAGAGAAGTAAGACGATTCAAACCTGCAACTCTGGAGGTGTGAGGCTTATTCAAAGGAGCTAGAGCACCACCCCACTAATTTAGCCCAATTTTTAAAAATATAATTATATATAATCAATTTGAACTTCACAGCAGTGTCGTGAAACTAAGAAGAAGCACGTGACTTTATGGGGTCACACCTGGCTGGCATTTGTTCTTTATCTGCTGATTTTCAGCTGAGTGCTATTGCCTGGCTGAGAAAAGAATATGCACAGCAATGAAAGAAGAGGGCTTCAAACCCACATCCTCCTGGAGCCCTAAAGGAAGAAGGACTGTGGGCCTCATCTCAGGGACATGAAACCAAGCAGGGGTTCAAACCCACATCCTCCTGGAGCCCTAAAGGAAGAAGGACTGTGGGCCTCATCTCAGGGACATGAAACCAAGCAGGGGTTCAAACCCACATCCTCCTGGAGCCCTAAAGGAAGAAGGACTGTGGGCCTCATCTCAGGGACATGAAACCAAGCAGGGGTTCAAACCCACATCCTCCTGGAGCCCTAAAGGAAGAAGGACTGTGGGCCTCATCTCAGGGACATGAAACCAAGCAGGGGTTCAAACCCACATCCTCCTGGAGCCCTAAAGGAAGAAGGACTGTGGGCCTCATCTCAGGGACATGAAACCAAGCAGGGGTTCAAACCCACATCCTCCTGGAGCCCTAAAGGGAAAGGTGTACATTTTGGGATCCGGCGATATTTAGTTCTATTTAGCTGATTTTTTCATATGACTCTCTTATTATATTACATCAAGAAGAAGAAAGCTTTTTCTGAACATACAAAACAAAAAAATTAATGACTCCTTTCTGTAGCCTTGCAGAATCAATGCATGTTCAATGAGCCCTTACAGCAGAACCGCTCTCACTCTATCCTTGGTTCTGCCTCTGTACCCTCTCCTGATTCAGAGCATGAAAAGCAGAGGACAGCTCTCCAAAACTTAGGGGAACAAATGTCTCTCTCTATTCACAGAGAATTAAAACGCTGCAGCATGAAATGTTCCTTGTTAGCATCTAAAGAAGCCATCGTCACTATCAACAGTTCTTAAAAACAGCAGGTATCACTGTACAGCTTTAAAATAAGGCTACCCATATAAAAGCTTATAATCAGGGATTGACTGGTACACAAGTACGCATTCACCTCTGAAAGCGATACGTGCAGCAATCCGTTATTGTAGCAGCGTGAATGCATACGTATTTTATATGCATTTGCGCCGATATGACAGGAAATTATCGTGCATTTCAACCTTCATATGCTAATTCATACTTCATTTGCAGTATAGAGGTTAAAATGCATGATAATTTCTTGTCATATCGGCACAAATGCACATAAAATACGTACATATTACGTTAATCGATTGCTGCACGTATCACTTTTAGAGATGAATGCGTACTTGCGTACCAGTTATGTAAATCCCGATTGATAATTAGGTTATTAATTAGGTTGTAACTCTTTGTAAATCATTATTAGACAATTATAAAGTTATAACATTTTTTTTATTATTGAGTTACTGCCATTCAGAAGTGGCAAATGGAAGCCTTACTGTAAAATGGTTCCCTATATTCTTTTATGTGAATCGGTGTTGGTGTAAAACCTTTGCAAAGGACACTTTAATTTTAAAAAGGCTTGTGTTAGCAAATAGCGCTAATATCCAATAGGCTGTTCTAGTTACTTTCAGCTGTGTGATATTAACCACAAATTATCTTGTCGGTCACACTTTCATAAACTTGTGTTCCTGGCGATCTCCACTCACCCCAGGATTTTTAATATATATACACAGTATATATAACAATATGAATTCTGGTATACGCTTTGCTTATGAGAGTTTTACTTACACAAAAATATTCTGAGGGGAGAAAGAAAAATGATTGGTTCAGAGAGATAACCAATCAGCTTGTAGAGGAGGCAGACCCAAGCACCTAGAGGAGGTGAGACCAAGACATCTGATTGGTTGGTCCCACCTTCTCTAGTCGCTTGGGTCTGCCTCCTCTACAAGCTGATTGGTTATCTCTCTGAACCAATCATTTTTCTTTCTCCCCTCAGAATATTTTTGTGTAAGTAAACCTCTACAATGTGTCCCTAAACCAATCCTTTTTCGTTCTGCCCTCAGTGCATTTGTGTGAGGAAAACTCCCATGAACATGTGCTTCTGTGGCCTGTAGGTTCAGTTCTGCATCATGCCCTTGCCCCTTCAGGATGGACGCGCTCAGCCACTGGATCGAGGGGATTAAGGGCAGTTAAGATGCTCAACCCGATGAGAAATGGATCCTGCATCTGACCTCATTTTCCCAATTACCTAAGGTTCACCGATGCTTTGTCCAAAGCCCAAAGCAGAAGATGCGGGACATCTGTGTGAAAAAAAAGCACTTACTTCCTGCTGTATGTTTGACCCGTGACATGAAGAGCGCCCTGGCACTTACGAGGCCTTAGCGCTTAATCACCCGCTGATTGACTTCATAACGTCTCTGCACCCCGAAGCTGTTTCTACAAAGCATCCATTTGCCCATCCTCATACATTAACATGCTTATTTATTATTTGCATGTTTTACATTCTATGTCAATTTCTATTTCTATTCTATGTTTAACTTTCTTTTACCTTTGGTATTTCTGTCTTAATTCTATGTTTAACCACCAACACCAAAACAAATTCCTCGTACTTTCCGTTATTGCCGAATAAAGGATTCTGATTCTGATCTAGAAGGTTCTAGAGACACTTTTTTTGCCCGACATGGACATAAACCTACATTGGGGATGACCACTTACCCCGTATACCAGCTCCCCCACCATGCCGTTCCACATCTTGGTCTCGGAGTCACGGGCCCCGTACTTCCCGTCTGGAACAATCTCCAGCTTGTATGTGTAGCCGACGTGCTTGGCGATCTCAGCGGCCAGCTCCACGCAGTAGCCCTCGTACTTGTCATTCCCCACGAACTGGTCGTGGTTCTTCTTCAGCATCACGTACGGCGACTCCTTCATGGTGGGGATGGGGAGATGCCTGGGTTTGTTGTCCATTGAGCACCCCCCCCCCCCCACGCAAAACGTTCCATCAAGCATCCAGCCGCAACGTTATATGTTCTGTGGTCAAAAACCCTTTACTATGATGAAACGGTGCCCTTTTTTGCCATTTGCACAAGTACTGCATATCCCATCTTGCTCTCCTTCGAGACAGTAAAGCTTGGGGGGGGTCTGAGCTCAGGGTCATTTATCCAGGGCCCCTGGGGCATATTTTGGGGTTAAGACCCTTGGTCCAAGGGCCCAACAGCAGCGTCAGACAGCCAGCCCCAGGATTTGAACCAGCAGCCTTCCAATCACCAGACTAACCGCTAAGTCACACACTGCCTTGCTACGCATACTGGATATGCTAATACCTATTAGCATGGAGCAGGGAACTGGACTGTCCCAAAACAGTGAGCCATCAGCCAATCCTGACACACAGAATCCACAGCCCAAGCAGAAGGTGTTGGACATGCGGGCCGCGATTCCACTGAATTGAAGTGACAGGGAACAATTGTTAACAATGCAACGGTAATGGCTGAGAGGTGATAATGTGGTAATGCGATTGTTTCATTGATGTTCGTTTTCAGTCAATTCAATTTGTCAAAACAGCAGGCAACTATTTGGCACAGGGTACGTGCTGCAGCTACAGCTCCAGATAAAAGCTCACTGACTGACTGGACTGTACAGTACGTTCTGTACTGACCACCTGCTCAGCTTGACCGTATTCTTCGGTATAAAAGAACCTCAGTGAATTGTCATGAGACAAAAATGAACGGCATGAGGCTAAGGAAAAATGCTAAATAACATCAACAAAAGAAATGCTGTCGATTGACAAAGGTCCATCCATTTATTGCAGTGAGCCTTGAGTCTATCCCGTTAAGTGCAGAGTAAAAAGTAGGAGGCACCAGGAACAGGATGTCAGTCCATTGCAGGACACAGACTAAATCTAACGTAGAGACAATAATCCACTGAGACTGTATGTCGGGGGGGAGGGAGGTCATCCTATGAATCATGAGCTATCGGTTGCATGTGGCGTGATTCCAGGTCGATTGCGAGATTATTAATGGATAATGCTTTAATTCAGTGCTGGCCAACCACAATGGTACATTTAGCCACTGCGGAGGCGGGGGGGGGGGTATTGTTTTGTGATTGATTTTTGCATCTTATCTGTTCATCGTGATACATTTCCCTCCCCAACCCCAGTCGGCGAAATATACCATCATAATTCAGTAGCTCACCAGAGTAGTTTCTCTGTAAAAGTAGCTCTCACTGTAAAAAAGGTTGGACACCAGTACTACACGAACACAGTGACACAAAACTTCACACACAGGCAAACTCTACACACAGAGACAGAGCCAGGATTCGGCCCCGCCGCCCTGGAGGTGCGAGGCGTCAGCGCCGGTCACCACGGCAACTCGTCAAAGGCCCAAAATAACATTTACACAGAAGAAAAAGAAAAGGCTACAATACTGCAAAAACAGAGAAGCAAAGTGGGCAAAAAAGTTTGTCAATATATTACGACTAATCCCACTATGAATGGTGTGTGAGTGAGTGTGCCCTGCGATGGTGTGTGAGTGAGTGTGCCTTGCGAACGTGTGTGAGTGAGTGTGCCCTGCGATGGTGTGTGAGTGAGTGTGCCCTGCGATGGTGTGTGAGTGAGTGTGCCCTGTGATGGTGTGTGAGTGAGTGTGCCCTGCGATGGGTTGGCGCCCCATCCTGGGTTGTTCCCTGCCTTGTGCCCCTAGGCTCTGGATACCCCCCCCCCACCCCCCCGACCCTGAATAGCGGTTTCACAAAATAGATGAATGGAAGGAACCCTACTATGGGAATTCATTTTGTCTCTACCTGTGACAACGGAATTGGATATGCTTGTTGCTGTAAATGTTTATAAGTTTTTATAAAGCGTTTAAACCCAGAAGACCGAAAGAGTGTGAGGTGCCAGTGACACACTGAGCAGGCACCGCGGGATACGCAGGGCGGCGCGAGCAACCAGCAGGAACGCCCGCCTGCCTGCCCACCCGCCTGTCCGGATCAGAGGCGGCGTACGCAGAGGGAGGTGTCCGGGCGGAGGCTTGTCTGCGGCGGACGGATGAAAATAAACAAACGAGCGGCATGCAGACGTGACGGCAGCGCTGGGAATGCGTCAGCAGAAAGGAAGGGAACCTTCCGGAGAAGCCGGCCTAATATCACCGGCCCCAGATGCCGGAGCGGTGTTGTTATGACAAAATAAGACTTCATTTACAGCACCCCCCTACTCATTTTTTGGTGGCTATCCCTCCCCAACCCACCCACTGCCCATCTGTTTGCACGAGAAAAGACAACTGTTCTGCTGAAGGAAACAGCGGCACTGGGACTCGATTCAGCGGGGGTTGGGATGGCCGCCACTCTGATCCCTCCATTTAATCGAGGAGAAATAGCCCTGTGTTGTGCTGACAGACAGGTTCCTCTAGTCATGTACAGTACCATTGATAACGTTCTTCCGTGTCCTGCAGAGGTACGTACACGCACCAATCTCTGTGCCTGTGATCAGAAGGTTCGGAGCCCCAGCCTCACCGGTATCGACAAATGTCTGTTGGGCCCTTGAGCGAGGCCCCTATCCCCCAAGATGCTCCAGGGAGCCAGATAAATGATCCGATCCTGTATTCAGACCTTTCACTCTCAGCTGTGCGTGTGTGTGTGTCTGTGTTTTTCAAAGGAGAGCGAGATGGGATATACAAAAAGATCCATTCTAATGTACTTGTACTCAAGCATCTTTTTTTCCTTTTCAATACAGCCACTAAACAAAGACCGCGAGCTTTACCAGGATGGTCGTGACGATGTAGGTCCGGTTCTGCAGCCCGAAGGTCTCATTGTTGCCGTGCGTGTACGTGGCGGTGCTGACGTACTTCTCCTCCTCGTTCCAGTAACCGACCTGCCATCAAAACGCACGCAGCGCGAAGGCCGCTTATGAGCACTTGACTGACCTTCTTCACAAACACAAACAGAGCACGCAGACGCGGCGTGAGTTTCGCCCACTTCACCCGCCCACCTTCTTCGGTCCGTCTGCCCCCAGCTCCATCACGCTGACCGTGTAGTTCGTCCGCCGGCCTTTCTCGTTAAACTGGATGTGTCCCGTCAGCCCTTTGATCTGGACCTGCGGAGTTACCCACAATACATTGCTCCATCCTCCTCATTATTCATTCACCATTTTTCAAAAAAGAAAGTACCATTTATTATGATACTGCCATCTCTAGATTCATCCTTATTCTTTTGCTCTTCTCTTAATACTGTGTTCCCAAGGACACCACTGCAGATTTCAGGTCCCAGGGACGCATATCATATTGGCCCCCAACTCAAATCAATCAAATGCAATGTTGCAATTTTTTTGGGGCCCCTGTCACTCTGGGGCCCTGGGATCCATCCAAGCACTGCCCCCCTTTATGGTGGCCCTTCATTTATCTGCACTGTACTGCCCGGGTGGTCTGTCCCATCGCACCTCATGCTAATATCTCATTTCGCTCACTTGTGTATACTGTAAGGTCCTGTATCTGTGGGGGTGCGGTCCAATTTGTTTTTGTATACATACATAACTATAATAATTTGATTTATAAATTACACACAATAAAAAAAATCAATGACAATAACTAACAAGATAATAGAACAATTATTTTAAAAAGGTTTACTTGAACACAAGCACTGACATACCGCAACAGTTGATATGATCACTGAAACGGCTACTAAGAGACTAAGGGCTGGGTAGTGAAATCAGCGCGGATACGCTGGACAAAAGATTTGTTTCCTGGGCTGGACAACACGAGACTCCATTACACTACTGAGAATGGCATACGACTGAAAACTAATGAATTAATTATTTTTGGAAATTTTCATTTAATATTTTTGGACCGCGTTTGACCCCAGGTAACTGAGACCGCAGAATGTGAATCCGCAGATAAGGGGAGACTAGAGCACATTGTCAGAGAAACACAACCTGTACCATTCACAGGAACGGACTCTCAGGAATATGGCCGTACCATCAGGGCTACATTACTGTTATTTGTACTTTGAGGAACAAAACTGTACCCTTTTTTCTGACAGTGCACTCTGTTTTGCTAGTTGGTTGTCGCTCAATGTTAATACTCCTTGTTATGTTATTTTTGTAATTTATTTTATTCTGATTCTGATTTTGGACAGGCACTGCTTAGGAAACCAGTATCGGATAAATGGTATCAGGTAATCGGTATCGGGTAAATGGTAACGGGTAATCGGTATCGGGTAATCGGTATCGGGTAAATGGTAACGGGTAATCGGTACCGGGTAATCGGTATCGGGTAAATGGTAACGGGTAATCGGTATCGGGTAACCAGGGCCGTGTTGCTGACCCGATTTTTCGACAGCACTACCTGCTGCAGGGCTCTCTGGATGTCGATCCCTTGCCCCCACGGTGCCGGAGGGTTGGCCAGGCAGTCGCCCGCGTTGCCCCTTCGGGAGATATCGATACGCTGCCTGCGGAGGTTCTGAAAGGCCGCCGCCATAACGCTGACTCCGTCGTAGGTGAGGGCGCCAGTGTACTGAGGGGAAAGTCGAGTCATTGTACTGTCATTTCGCAAGCAAAACGCAACGGCAATTCATCAGAGCTTCGACAGCTAGAACACAGCTGAACAATAAACAATGGACAAAAAACACTGGGGGGATACTTATATAAAATAATACTCAATACTCCACAGTACACGACAGTGATGCAGTGGAAACAGTGCAAGTAGCCAGCAGTTCAGGGCAGTGCATGTAGACAGTAGACTGTGCAAGTAACCAAAACAAAATCACTGGAGAAGGGAGAAACTGTCGCAGGTCTCACTGTAATTTCAAATCAACCCAGAATCCAGCTGAAAGCAAACAATGTGCTGCAAGTTACTAAATCTTTAGCTGTTCTTAGGGGCTCAAGTGCAGTATTTACAGTAGCTAAATTAAGCGATTGTTTTCGTTGTTTTTACTTTAAGTTAAAATGCCAGGAGCTGAGTACGGCTCTGGTTTTACCTTCAGCCTCTTCTTCGGGGCTTTGATATCTTTGCTGTCGAACTCCAGCCACTCCTGTATCGTCCGGCTGACGTCCGGGTCCGAGTAGTTCATCAGCTGGAATCCCGTCACGTTGGCGCCGCTCTTCTTGAACTCCGTCAGGTCGATGTCGAGGAACCCCTGCGAGATAAGGCCGGAGTTCACGCCAGTCACCTCAACATGAAAACACATTTTCAACCCCTGTAAATTAATAAAATAAAATAAAAAAAACACTTGATTCATTTTAGCTCTGACCATTTTGGTCGACAAGAAATAATCCCACCCAACAAGTAGCAGATAGCATCTTAGACTGAAACACACCTTAAGATTATATAAGGACTATGTGCTCTGTTTCTCTGCGGGTGAATTCCATTAGCAATAAACTGTAACTAACTAACTCAATCAACATAAATCAACATAATGGAAACTCTTATTGTACTGGGTTTAAATTGGCTCAGCCCTTAAACAATCATATGTTCTCCCTGTGTTTTTGTGGCTAGTTGTGAGCCATATGATGAATTAGTGACCTTAAATAGCCCCCCCCCCATGTAAAGTATCCTGCTATTCGCTGGGGCCTGTTCTCGACTGACCCCAGGCCATGTGCCGGAACAGACAAATAACCCAAACAAATAACCCTGAGGCAGACACATGTCAGCCATGGTTTTTCTGTACATCTGCAACTCACGTGCCAACATCTCACATCACATTTCAGTTTAGTCACCAGTCAAGTACCAATCCGTCTATTTTTGGTGCAATGTAATTAGAATTTATTATACTCAGTCAGCCGGAGTCTGAGAAACGAGAAAGGATTTTCTTTACGTCTTTCCGTTTATCTCAGTTCCTCAGAGTTTTACAGCTGCATTCGGATGTTAAAGGAAATGTATTCTTTTTGCAAAGAGACTGGAATTAAAAGTCAGCACTTGCTGTAAATCTAATCAATTTATTTTAGTGCAAAAAAATAAAGAAAATGGTTTAAATGTGAGTAGCATCTTTGTAAATCTCCCCCTCGGTGAGGCAGTGAGGATCCCTTCCCAGGAATCGGGAGGTGGACAGAAGCGGCCCCATTCTGACCCCCCCATCCCCCCTTAATGGAGACAGAGCTGCTCAGGAAGGCCGCTTCTCTGTGCCAAGCTCATGCTGCTCAGCCAGATTCCCGGGAACGGAACCCCGTCCACATTCCCAGGCAGAACAGCCAGCAAGTCCCAACAGAGACGGATAAAGACACATTATAACTACATAAATGGGGCAAAAGGTCAATTATAGGGGACTGAACTGCATATCTATACACATACATACAGAAGATGCATACTATGTAGGTTACTATGCACTTTAACTACACAGATAATATTATTTCCTACCAGTTCTGGCAAACTGGTGTTCACTGTTGTTACTTCTCAGGTTTTTATTAAGGTAACGTACTTAAGAGCATTAGCACAGATAATATAAAAGTATGCATAAAGAACACAGGTATTCCTCTGTCTCCTGCAAGTAAAGACCAAGCAGAGTGACATATGGGTCAATAGTCATTTCAGAGGATTCTCCTGGTATGGCTGCTCCTTTCACACACTGGGTGCAAACCATTCCACTGTAACTGGTCTAATTCAGACTGTACAGTTAAGTTGAACTTCAAGTCCCTTACTGCGTACTGTTACAATGTACCTGTGTAACTGCCATTACTGTGTATTGTTAAATTGTAATTGAAAAATTCCCTTTACTGCATACTGTTACACTGTAACTGCATAACTCCCCTTGCTGCATACTGTTACAGTGTAAATGCCCTTACTGGGTACTCTTACACTGTAACTATGTAACCCCCCTTACTGCATACTGTTACAGTGTAACGATGTAACACCACTTACTGCATACTGTTACACTGTAACTGCATAACTCCCCTTGCTGCATACTGTTACAGTGTAAATGCCCTTACTGGGTACTCTTACAGTGTAACTATGTAACCCCCCTTACTGCATACTGTTACAGTGTAACTATGTAACTCCCCTTACTGCATACTGTTACACTGTAACTATGTAACTCCTCTTACTTCATACTGTTACACTGTACTGGCTTCCTCTCACTCCTTTTGATACCATGCTTACACTGGCACAACACTCCTGTATTTGGATGAAAAAAGGACAGGAGATGCCTGAATGTAGGAGTAAATAAGCGTTTGATCCAGGAGTCCGTTTAACACGCAGCTGTTTCGCTGCCGTGGTGTTTACAGCATCGGCCGCCCCTGCACTTCACTGCGCTGCCTGTGAGCTGCACCCCCCTCCCCTTTCAGGGGAAGCAAGGAGGCAGCAGCCACGTTTGAAGTTTAATTCTGCCCCCCCCCCGATAGCCTTCTCAGGCGACGGTCTTCCCTGCCGCTTCATCGCTCCCTTTTCCTGGACGTAGCCATATAAGCAGGGTCCCGATTAGCAGCCGCTAACCTGGGTGCTTTCCTTAGCCGCAGTCAGCTGAGGACGTTACTATAGAAACGAACCTTTACAAAACGCCGTGGGCAGAACATGCTGTATACAGACAGGCTGGGAGGATACGGCAGCGCGCTACACATCGAGCTGCGCGTCACAAAGGGCCGGGCAGGACCCGCGGGGCCGATCACCCACAAAGGTCGTTTCCTTTCACGCACATAAGCAAAACCAACACGGAACTGGCCGGTCAGCAGCACATTTAATGTTACGCCATGGGAAACAACAGGAATAATCTTAAACCCATATTACACGCTGGTCCCTCTCTGGAAATTGCGAGCACTGTTTAGTT